TTTGCCCATTTCCCAGGGCACCCGAGCAACCAGGGCAGCCTAGGATTATAGCTAAATCCTGAGGACCTTTGGGCTTGCTTGAGGCTAATTCCTGAGTAACTTCAGAGATACTCAAGGATCCCTAGAATTTGGCCAAAACCCTGGGCTACCTGGGGTGCTTGGGTTGCCTAGTGTTGCCTGGGAATTGGCCAAATTCCTGGGCATCCCTGAGAGTGACCAGGCACACCTGGACTTGCCTGGGCTTTAGGTAGTTTTCCAGATGTAGCTCACTCTACATCTCAAGTACGTGGGATTAAAAATCCCTCGAAACATGATTTGCCAGAGGATTGAGTATGGTACATCCAGATGTACCCCAACCAATGTCCTACTGGCATAAAGTATGATCATGATGATCATACTCTTACCTGTAATGTACATGGATGGTTACTAGTAAGTAACCATGCCCCATTTATAGCAGTGGGGACTTCCAAGGTGAAGCAGCATTGCTTCACCTTGCAAACAGCAGAGTTGTTCACAACTCCAGGACTTTATGCATCCATTACCGGATGTGATGAAACAAATATTGTCTTGAATATTTCAACATCACCATATACAGGTGACATTGATAATGCTACATTGTATGATGTAGCCTTGTTTTACGCCTCCTAAGGCATTACCATTGAAATGGGAAAAGACATAACTGTCTTTGCCCTTCAGTGGTTGACTATGTTCTGTACAACGGACCCTAGTCTTGGATGCAAGTTATGTGCAACACGTGTTCTTCACTCCTGTTTCTGAATACATGGCACGCTGCCATGCATTTGAAATCCCAGGATATATTCACAACACGCTATCGTGAATATGGTCCCAACTTCAACTATCAAGTTGAAGTTCTCACAAATAAGCTCCAGCTGGGTTGACATGCTATCAAACCAGTTGGAGGCCCCTTCCTCTTCGATTGAACTGTAGGCTCAATCTGGCTGGGGAGGGTGTAACATCCCCGATCCCTGATCGGCAGGACCTCAGTCTTTACAGGTGGTGGTGCATTCCCGCGCCTGCCAATAATCTATATTATAATTATTATATATGAGAATACCTTAGCTTTTAACCATCACCTTGTGAGTATACCTGAATAAATCCAGTAGTACTTGTTGGCGTGATATTAAGGCTCTAGGCTCCACTTAGGAGCCGTTACAAAAACTATGTTGGACAGAAACTCATACTGTAAGGGTTTCTTGCTTCTGCTGATATCCCACTTGAAGCTATTTCACTATACTTTTCCTCCTAATGTACTGAGTACTACACTTTTATTTCTGGATATCAGTTGCCAGATATATTCTTAATCATATTATTGCTGTTATCATATTAGTTGGCGTCATCTGAAATTTCACTCTCACGGACTTTTTGCGCGTTTTGAGCCTTCAGCACTTTTCAGTCATATCTCAGTAAATACCATAGCTATGGTCTTTTAATAAAGCGCATCGTAATCGTCTAGTCGAGCCTGAGGTGCAATGCTAAAGAAATTGAAGATCCAAGCATGTTTATTTTTCGCAGTAAATTACAATACCGCTCAGAGATTTCAGTTGTCGCAGCATAACAAATTTATTTAGAAGCTGCTTGAGGAGTAGAATACCTCCGATGGACTATAATACAGATGCAAATCTACTTTAGATAGGTGCGAAATGACATTCCAACAGCTGGTGCATCAGGAAAAATGGTCTGGGCCAAGGATAGCCTAGGTAACCTAAGCCTCCTAGGTTACAGGGGCTGGACTTGGGATGGCCTAGGCAGCCTAGGCCTCCTAGGTTACCTCCTGAGGTTTCCCCAGGGTTCTTCCAGGTTTCCTCAGGTTTTCTCAGGTTTTCTCAGGTTTCTCAGGTTTTCTCAGGTTTTCTCAGGTTTTCTCAGGTGACTCAGGTTGTCAAAAGTCCACCCCCTAATTCCTAGGTCATCCTAAAGGAACCTAGGCAACCTAGGTGGCCTAGGTGGCCTAGGTGTCTTTGAGTTACCTTGAGGTTAACTTCAGGCCATCCAAGGCCCAAACAGTTTTTCCTGATGTGTATTGAATTCTTGCATGCTCTTGCTTGGTCGCAACTTCCATGATGAAAGGCAAACCACTGCCAGAACAACTTTGTTGGACAGTTTTACACCTCTCTGAGCTTCACAGTCCATTAGAAATCCTAGCCTTATCTCATGTCAGCATACGCCAGCAAAGCCATATCCTTCATCATTGCGATGGAACTCTCTTTGAAACCCATCAGACGCATTGCAGCTTTCATTTCGCGCTTGCTTGGCTTTCCCGTTTCGGGTGGTGGTGTAATCTCAGGACTTTTATTTTGACTTGGTTCAGGTGATCCGGAAGACTGAGGGAAAGAAAGAGGAGACAATATGGGTTCTGGTATAGCTTTACAATTCGGGTCAGTTCTTCCAGGCCTCAACTTTGAAAGCAGGATACAGAACTCACCAAGATCTTCTTTCTTGTCCTTCTGTCTCTTTCTAGCTGTTTTCCGAACACCTGCATGCACATTTGTCATTTTAGACTTGAGAAAAGTAAACAAGCAATGCAGGCACTTCACTGGGCTCTGTCACAGGTTCAGTGGCCTCTCTAAAGTAGATTTGCATCTGTATTATAGTCCATCGGAGGTATTCTACTGCTCAGAAAGCTTCTAAATAAATTTGTTATGCTGTGACAACTGAAATCTCTGAACGGTATTGTAATTTACTGCAAAAAATAAACATGCTCAGATCTTCAATTTCTTTAGCGTTGCACCTCAGGCTCGACTAGACGATTACGATGCGCTTTATTAAAAGACCATAGCTACAGTATTTACTGAGATATGACCGAAAAGTGCTGAAGGCTCAAAACGCGCAAAAAAAAGTCCGTGAGAGTGAAATTTCAGATGACGCCAACTAATATGATAACAGCAATAAGCAGTAATCATGAGCATCAAAGGGCATATCTAAGATTTTTACAGTGCACAGTATATAACCAACGAGCAGCAACATTAACGAGAACGATAGAGAAAAAGTAGGACTATCAAGAATATCTAGACGACGCCAGCAGGATTTGAACCTGCGCCCTCAAAGAGGAACAGATTAATCAAGACCCATGTTTGATTCTAATCTGTCGCCGTAACCACTTGGCTATAGCGCCTTGATACCAAGCGTAAATTCTCTTTTCACCACCACCTCCCATCGATCTCATAAACAAAGCAGGCTTCGAGACGACTACCAACCTTCCCATGTCATTCTATTCCACTCAGAGCCCTTTTCTACGCCTTCCACCAGAAATACTTTGCCAAATTATCGATTTTTGCCCCAAGTCGAGCCTTGTCGTTCTTTGTCGCGTCTCAAAGACAGTTGGAGAATTCAGCGTTCGTTCTCTGTATCGTGATATATCTTTCAAAAATGCTTCTGTTTTCATAAAGTGCTGCTATGCATTGGTCAAGGCTGGTTTAGCTGCGGCGTCGGTGAAGTATCTGCGGATAGATTTCGAGTGCGTTATCTTCTACTACTGAATCGGACTATTTTTCTAATAACTTTTGTAGCGGCTTCTTTGGACAAAGTCGCTACCTGCTATCCGCGTTTTACCTCCTCGTGAGCAAGGTTCTATGTCGGTTACACAACTTGCAAGGTCTAAAGATCCTTCATGACGAACCTGGCTACCAATCGGCTCTGCAGTCCTGTCATTTCTCCCGTCTCTCCTACTTTCAAACCAGCCTGCCTCTTACAAGACCTCTCACCGACTTTCTTACTCGTCATTCGTCCACCATTTCCGTACTCTACCTTGACGGGCGTCTTCCCGATCCTTCTTCCACTTCTACATCTACAGCCCCAAGCGCAGTCAATCTCCCTGTTCTTACCTCGTTCACGGGGAATCCTGCTTTCGTGCGTTTTGTCGTTCAAAAGCAAGATACGCCAATGCTTCGCTCTGCGCATATGACCGCTATCACTGTGTTAGAGCTGCCCGAGGCACAAGTCATCCATGCTGTAGAGCACCTACGGGACGTGGCGGGTGAAACACTAGAGACGGTCGCTGTACTTGGGAGAGGCTTTTCTAGCCCGTTATCGAGATACGTTTCGATGCATTTAACAAGTGTCAAGTCTCTGGGCCTCATGCATCTAACCAGGCTTTTGGTAGATGACGAGGTGCGTATCAAACTAATATCCACAGAAAAGTCTGACTTTCGACCTTTTGTTAGGATGTGCGCTTTTCGACGGAACGGCTTTGCGAGGAGGTCAAACTTCTCTTACCGCCGCTGCAGCAGCTTCAACGACTCATCATCAGTCGTACTATCCCGCCTGTAGAAAACAAGGTTCTAACGTTGGCAGAGGGTCATAAAACTGTCACTACATTCAATTCTATATGTCCCAATCTCGAATTTGTTCGTCTACCTGGTTAGTCTTCACTCTCAACTTTTGCTATGACTCTTTCACAAATCCTTGTAGACGACACCGAATGGACCCGCATCATCCCTGGCTTTGTCAATCTTTGGATTCCAGAAGTATCGCGAATCGCTAATATAGAATCTGCTTGGTGGCTTCTAGATATGCTTGGTGCGGAGAGCAGGAGGAATCCGGAGTGGAAATCGGTTTTGAGATCGGTTTTGTCGGGAGCGGGGGGTTGGGATGCGAGTAGCGGGGATCCGGAAGGAGATGATGATGATGATGCAGGTGAGGATGCAGGTGCGGTTGCGTCGCAGGAGGGATCCTCGAATAGTGCAGTAGAGACTTTGTTTGGGTTGATTGATAAACGACTGCGGGTAGTCGAAAATGCAAGTCTTGAATCATAGCTTGAGGCTGGTTGTTCTTAGAGATTTATTATTCGCTGTATTTAGACATCATTACAACCGAATTTAGCATCTTTGGCGCCTATACACCTTGTCTCTGGACTTCTCCCTCACGATGGCGGATGATCTTAACAAGTGCCAACTAATATCTATGCCACCCGAAATTATCAGCCAGATCGTGGATTTTTGTCCAAATTCAAGTTTTATCGTTCTCTGCCACGTATCCAAGTTGTTTCACGAGTTCGCCATCACTGCTCTTTATAGAAGAATTCAGCTCGACAGTTATCCGACGATCATTAAATGGTGTGGATCTGCTGCGTCGGTTAAATCCTAGACTTGGATTCTATTTCGTGCGTTATCTTTCTTTCACTCTTACTACACTCCAATTAATCATAAACATCCTAGAAACATTACACTGCAGGCACTATACAGAACAGTAGGTCGTGCTCTACGCCGACTCTCCAATCTTAAAACTCTCAAACTGTCCGTTTACGAAGATAGTTATTACGCCATTCTCCAAGCATGTCACTTTCCTCGTCTTGTCGAATTTCAAGCTAGCCTTATTCCCAACAAATCACTCGCCGCCAGCACTCGTCGTCCATCATGGCTCTAGTCCTCGAAGATGACTTTGATAACTTGCCGTCGCTGGACCCAGTAAACCCAGAGTTCAAACTTCACCTCACGTACTTTTGTGGCAGCTCTGTCTCCGAAGCTCCGTACTGTGGACTTTATCCTGTTCTCTGGCGTTACATGTGACGAATCGTGTGCCATGAGCATTGTCAAGCATCTTGAAAGCGTTGCTGGCGACTATGTGGAGAATCTGTTATTGTTCGTCAAAGACTTTGATGAACCGCTCCCTAGAAACATTGGCAACTACCTTTGCAATATCAAGTTTCTTGTACTTGCTTATTATGTCGCTTCGACCGAGAAGGTGATGTTCCAACCTTTTCGTCCAGCACTGTATCTGACGTATTGCATTTACAGAACTTGCACGTCTCAGAAGAAGTCATCAAGCTTTCTTACAACCATTC